TATATATACCTATAGATATATATACTGTATATACACAATATATATTTATTTATTTTATTTAAAATTTCAATCCCAAAAGTAAGAAAAAAGAACATATACAAATCCACATTTTTCCAATGGAAAGTCCTTTAAAACTCTTCAGAACTTCAGAAGGTCCCTTGCTGCAAGCACATATGAACAAACATATATGAACATAAATGACAGGCAGTACAGTATGTGATTACTGCCACTTGGTTTTTCACTATTAATAAAGATACAATAAGTTGATAACTTGTAAAGTCCCTTCCCAGTAGTCTTTTGACTTTGATTGCAACTATCTAAAAAGTGACCCATTATTGTAATTTTTCTGATTGTCAAAGTCCGATTAAAAAAATGATCATACAATTAAAAAAACTAATCGCTCACCTAAGTCTTTGTAGGGAAAAATAAAATGTAGATATAAAATACACAAGGCAGCTATATGTATTGAATAATAGAGCATTAAATGTATTTTTTTCAAGAAGTGTAAGTAAGTGCAAATGTACTGACGAGGAGCAAGCTGACAGTAGGAGAGAGCATAAAGATGGCCTCATTGCTCTTCTGCTCTCCCTCAGTGTCCAATCAGCAAGCTGGGAGTTGAGAGATGACACCACTGTATAACTGTATCAACTGTAACAGAGATAGTGGTGTTATCCTTCTGACTCTGCTCTTCGATAGGGCTAGGCACATCTTAGGACTCAATAGACAAAGATTTGGCAGGTACACAGATCCCTTAGATGTATTTTATCTGCGTATTTCCTTTTCCTGGAGTTTAGCTTTCTATTGTAAGTCAAGGTGATAATGGCTGATATCTTTGAATTCCTTTCCTCCATTTTAGTGAGAGTGTGTACATTATTGCACAAAGCAGGACATCTCTGTTTTTAGGTGGAAGATGAACAACAAAATGTTTGTTTAGTCTGACCGACCAGCTGGTCTTCATGTTCTGATCCTTGCACACACACTACAGAGTCAAATACCCATGCAAAATAATTATAAATGAATATTGGTGTTTGCCTGTGTATGGTTTCTCCAAGTCCCGTTACCTTTTTGCCATGCACTGGGTTTTTACCATCATATAGTCTTTGTATACAGCGTGAGCTCCCTCACATGGCCAGATGAGGCATTACATTTATATGCCAATGTTGCACAAAATTCTCAGTGAACTGTGGCTGTTGTTTTGCAGTCTCTCTTGAAAATGTCCTTTTGGATGTAAAAGAACTTCAGCGAGGAATGGATCTGACGAAACGAGAGTACACCATGCACGATCACAACGTAATGCTCAAAGAATTCATACATAACAATGAAGGGAGGCTGAAGAAGTTGCAGGATGATGCCAAAATCTCGCAAGTAAGTCAGTACCAAATGTCATGTTTTTCCTTGTTAGTGGAGATGGGTTGATGGCCTCATCCAATGAGATCTTTACCCCCTTTGACTAAAAATAACATCAGCATACAGCTCTGCATGCTGATATAAAATCATCTTACATTCATTAGCTAAACAAACATATTTTTCTTACAATTTTTTTTCCCCACTTCCTGTCCACTTTGGCAAAAATGATGTAATCGTGCCCAAGCATGGCATCCTGGGAAGGTTACACCAGCAGAGCATTGCTAGGAAATCTTATCTGTAATCTCATGAAATCACAAGGAAAGTCATTTTCCTCCCCTGAGAAGATGTGCATGGTCACATGTCCTAGTCAAATGTGCCAGAGTTCCAGGAAGTAAAGGGAGATCTAATAGGAGCCCCCAAAGCATTTAATAACATAGAAGCTCCCCAAGGATTTAATAACATAGAAGCTCCCCAAGGATTTAATAGCATAGAAGCTCCCCAAGGATTTAATAACATAGAAGCTCCCCAAGGATTTAATAGCATAGAATCTCCCCAAGGATTTAATGACATAGAATCTCCCCAAGGATTTAATAACATAGAATCTCCCCAAGGATTTAATAACATAGAAGCTCTCCAAGGATTTAATAACATATGAGCTCCCCAAGGATTTAATAACACAGGAGCTCCCCAAGGATTTAATAACACACATAGAAGCTCCCCAAGGATTTAATAACACACATAGAAGCAATGTAATGTGGGTTAGCTCTGCTGATATGATGAATGAAATATTCCCTCTTGTTTGCAGGATGCCTTTGATGATGTGGTGAAATATTTTGGTGAAAATCCGAAGACCACTCCTCCATCTGTGTTCTTCCCAGTTTTCGTCCGATTTGTGAAAGCCTACAAGGTCGGAAGACTTTTATTGTCTTACAGGATTAACTAACATGAAGGAAATAAGTGTCAGCTGTCCGCTTCTCAGTCCCATCTCACATTTTATATCTTTGTCATGTTTGCTGTGTATTCTTAAAGCTCAACTCAGATATAAAAGACACAAATAAATCAAAGCAGCTCTGTAATCATAATACATCATTAAATGTAAGCAAGCAGTGTAAATATCTGAATTTGACCTGGTATGAGCCTCTTGCAGTCCCTGTAAAGCAGGGCTGAAATGTATGAAGAAGCAGCACAAGGAGCCAATCAGTTCATGCGCTAACAAGCAACATGCTGTGTGACAGAGAGGTGAGCTAATCACTGTGCTGCTTCTCGTTCACTGTCCAGTCACAAGCTGGGGGTTGGTCCGGGATGACCTGAGCTCAGAGGAAGTGGATTGGATGATGCTGGCTGCTAGAGGACATCTAGTGACAAGAACATCTCTGGATTAATACTTCAAACTACCAAATATGGTTTTATTATTTTATTTTTTGAGTGGACTCTTCACTTTTTCCTTGTTATTTTTGACTGAAATTTTGCTTTAAGTTGTCAATGACCTCTCTACGGATTTTCATGACCTTCACCTTTTTTATGGTGTGGATGATCTGTACACACAAAAGTACTTCTTCTTGTAGAGAATTAACTTGATGCTTCATTGGCCCTAATATGATTGTAACTGTCAGTCATGTCAGGGAGAGACTCAGTTTCAGCAATGAAATTAGACTTTTTTTTTAGTCTCATCCACCTATCACCAGAACATTGTACCAGGCCATATATTTTGAAGATGCATGTTAACATTAGTTACTGATTAGCTGCAGTCAATGTTCGTCTGATAATTTTCCACCCGCCTCCTTCTGCAAAAATCGACTGAAAAATTTACATTTTATCAAGCTGGATGGCGCTTGCAGAGCCACCCACTTATTAAACTTCAGTCAATTCAGCAAGAAACAGCCAGCATTTGGTCTGTGTGGGGCGAGTCATTACACGGCGCCCGGCTTCCTAATTGGCCGGGTAGCCGGCTTCATGCCCCCTCGTCACCTGGTGATGAGGGAGCATGAAGCCGACTCTGTGGCCAATAATTACCCCCCCCCTGCCCCCCCAGGCTTCCTGATTAGCCAGCTTCCCGACAATTCAGGAATCCAGGCGGCGAGTCATTAAACCAAGTGACGAGGTTACATATATATAAACATGTAATGTGTAAATTAATTTGTGTCTTTTATATCTGCCTGGAGATAAGCTTTAAGGTCCCCTGTCATAGTCAGTATGACAATTAGAAGTGGTGAAGGAAGGGTGATGTATTATATTGTATTATATTACTATACCCTTTATATTTTGTTGTACTCCTTATGTCTCAGTCAGTTCACCATGATTATTGGACAGGTTTCTTTGTGTTCAAATTCGACTATGTTCTGGCAGGTTATTCTAAATCTTCTTTGATTTTCTGTCTGTCAGCTAGCAGATGAGGAGAACGAGATGAGGAAAAAACAGGAACAGGCCCTCATAGAGAAACTTCTAGAACAAGAAGCCATGATGGACCAACAAGATCAAAAGGTTCAGCAATATTTATCTGCTACCTAACTTGTGCTTGTTTTCATTGTTCAACTAACAGCTCTTCTAAACTCATGGCCAGCATCATGATAAATTAATTGAAGGAAGTGCATTAACCACTTCAGGACCTCATTATGTATATGAAACTCACGGTCCCAAAACCAAGATCACGGCTGCTGCAGCATCTGTGATCTTGGTATCACTGTTTGCAGCCAGCACTGGTCTTCACATACAGTACAAGTGATTGGTCAGCTGTAGAACTCTGTTAAGTGGAATTGTTTCTATTGACTTCCAATGTACGTGGCATTTTCTCACTGACTCCCAATGTTAGTGATATTCTTCCCACTAACACCCAATGTAATCGCAATCACTTGTATGTGCCAAAAAGGGTGGCACCACCACCCTCTCTGTCACCGCTGTCAGCTATCCAGGGCTCTCCCAGATAGCAAGCAATTGAGCTGCAAGTTTGAAAATGACTTGCTAAACTATTGCAGACTTGCCAAGCTTCACAATTTTGTTGCACAATTACAGCAAGTCTGCATTGCAAGTCTCCAGACCAGCGAGCTTGCAGAGCTCTTGCTAAGACCTGCAGGACTCTTGCTGTAGACTTGCCAAGCAAATTTGCTACAAAAAGTGTCAACTTGTGCTGCAAGTGTCCTGCAAGTCTCCAACTTGCCAGGGAATGTGTGCAGCAAGTTAAAGGAGAACTATGAGGTGACTGCTTTTCACTCAACTCATAGTTCCAGCCGACCTGTGACAATGAAACTGTCACAGGTCGGCTCAGTAGATCGGGAGGTGAGCGAACACATACCAGCATTCGCTCACCTCTAGATCCTGTCACGGCTCTCTGCCGTGACAGGGGAGGGGCTGGATTCCCCCCTCCCCGATCCGCCAGCACTGACTGGCGGAACGGACTGGGGAGGGGGCGGGTACAGCTGGCTCTGCCTCTAGATAGGCAGAGCCAGCTGTCAGTCATGCAGCTGGGTGGATCCAGACATAATTGTCGGGATCCGCTTCAGCTGCGGCGTCTTAGTATACCGCGAGCAGCAGCTCGCGGTATACTGCGGCGTCTCAGTATACCGCGAGCTACAGCTCGCGGTATACTGAGCCTAGGGTGACGGGAGGATGCCAGTTTGTGTCCTCTCGTTACTCTGAGGAGAACTATGGGGAAAAGTCCTAACCCCATAGTTCTCCTTTAACAAGAATTACAATTTAACCCTCCCACAAGTTTGTGGCAAGTTATACTTGCTATCTGGGCTGCTGTCCCTAGTACAAGCCCAGAACCGGCACAGCGGATGTGTGAAGCCTGATTGGAGGGAGATCAGCACACTGTGGCTGATCTCCACTTACTGAACCTGAGTACTAAATGAGAGTAATGTACGTCTGTATGGAAGGGGGAAGGCAACCTCTGCACTCCAGCTGTGGTGAAACCTCAAATTCCATCATGGCTCTGGAAATCAGGCCTACAGCTGTCAGTCTTGCAGTGCCTCATGGGACTTGTAGTTTCACAGCTGAAGTGCTGACGTTGCCTTCCCCTAGTGCAGGAGTAGGCAAACTCTGGCCCTCCAGCTGTGATGAAACTACAAATACCATCATGCATCTGCCTCTGGGAGTCATGCATATGACTGTCAGAGTCTTTCAATGCCTAATAGGATTTGTAGTTTCACCACAGCTGGAGGGCCGGGGTTTGCCTACTCCTGCCCTTGTGTATGGCTAGCTTAAGAGGGGATTTTTCTTATTTTGGAGAGATTTCTTTTCACTTCCTGACATGGATGACACAAAAACATTTTTTTTTTTTTTGTTACCATTCCCTGTTCCATCCAAAAAACATTCTGTCTTGATATACACTTTAAACCTCATAATGCAAAGGTTTGTCTAAAATAATCCAATGCCTTGCTTTCTTGCAGTCTCCACATAAATCTAAGCTTAAACAGCAGGAGTTAATAGCGGAGCTGAGGAAGAAACAAGTTAAAGATAATAGACATGTGTATGAGGGCAAAGATGGCGCCATTGAGGATATCATCACAGGTGAGCGCTATTTGGCTTTCCATTGGCCTGGTTATTAATCATCTGACCAATCATGTGACTCTTAGACTGTTGAATATGGTGGATGGCGCTTTGCCGGTAAATTAAACCAGTTATGTTCAATCTATGCGAGGCATGTGACAGATTTGAGTGTCATTTGTCACAACCTGGTGGTGGATTGGTTAAGAAAAGAGCAGAAAATGTTTTAAAGCAAAAAAAACAAAACATTTTCTAGAAAGTTGCAATAATTTGGAGCTGCTCCACCTAGAAAATATCAGAGAGGTGAACATTTGAGGCAGAAGAACTTGTGCCCTTGGCTGGTTTTAGGGCACATGGGAAAATGTAGGTGATTTCAAGGATCTTAAAACCCAGCTCCAGCCACAACTTTTAATTCTGGTTTGGGAAGAGCAACCACTTCTTAAGTTTTTATTGTAACCTGTGACCCTTCTTCAGAGATGTCACCTCACTTCTTGTCCTTGTGATATCAGAGCAAGGTATGAGGGGAGAAGTTGCAACCGTCTAAAACTAAAAGAAGTGTTTCCACCGGAGAGTTTTCTCACTTCCTGTGTTCACAGGATGTCAGGAGAAATCAAGGACACAGATCACAAATCAGAACCTGACAGTGGTTCTGGAGTTGGGCTTTAGCACACAATGTGGGGAATTCATAAAAACTGGAGCAGAGAAAATCTGGTGCAGTTGCCCGTGGCAACCAATCAGCTTCTCTCTTTCATTTTCAAAGCTTAAAGGAGAACTATGAGGTGAGTGATTTCCACACTTCCTCATAGTTAGAGCCGTCATGCGACATTGTCACAGGTCGGCTCTATAGATCGGGAAGTGAGCGAACACATACTGTCGCTCGCTCACTTCCCGATCATCTCCCTGCAGAGAGTGGTTACTGTCAGTCACCTCTCCAGGCAGGGATTCCCCCTCCCCTCTCCAATCCACCAGCGCTGACTGGAGGAACGGACTGGGGAGGGGGCGGGCATAGCTGGCTCTAGATAGGCAGAGCCAGCTGTCACACATACAGCTGGGTGGATCTCGACATTGTCAGGATCCGTTCCGGCCGCGGCGCTCTCAGTATATAGCGAGCAATAGCCCACTATATACTGAGCTTTGGGTCACGGGAGGAGGTTAGTATATGTCCTCCTGTGACCCTAAAGAGAACTATGGGATAAAAAGTTTACCCCATAGTTCTTTTAACTGAACAAACTGAATAGAGAAGCTGATTGGTTGCCATTAGAAAACGGTCTGCTCCAGTTTTCATCAATTTCCCCCAATATGGGTTTGTGTCATGCAATTGAGGGCAGAGAGCAAAGAAAGCGCAGGATCCCAGAGCAACCAATCAGATGTTGGTTTACTGCAACAGACCAGTAAAAGAGGAATTCTGATTGGTTGCTTTGGGTTACTGCACTTTGCATTTTTTTTTACCTTGATAAGCCTGATAATTTGCTATCTTATCGAGTTACCAACTGTTTTACTGTATGATGTTTCATGCATCAGCTATGACCACTTACCCGGGGTTCTTATCAGGTACAGCTCTGATTTATGTTTCTCTTATACTAGTTCAGTGTAGTTTGTTAGGATACGAGCCAGCTTACTGCTTTTAGTGCATGGAAGACTGCAGATCAGCACTGCAGCCAATAACATGCAATCCTGTAGATGTCTAAGTAGAGGCGCTGGATTTCTGCATGCCCAAGCTCTTCTCTGTCCTCAGATCATTGTATAGGATAACTGAATCTTGCTTCTCTATGAATTACACTAACAGAAAGGTCTCTCAGTGGACTCTCATCTGCTCTTATGTCTCATGAAATGTTATAGCAAGGAGCTGTAAAGGTACCCATACACAGGCAACATTGGAGAATCAGCCAAACACAGTGGGAATTGTTAAGACAATGTATGGCGGTTTGTAGGTTGTGGAGAACTGCAGAACAAGGACGCCAATTAGTATATTCCAGGAAGCAACTTACACTGTTATAGAGAACTGGTATCATTACCTTTGAGATACACAGTGCCAGGACCCAATTTCCATCACTAATTCTTGCAGGCACCCAAAGCAATATACCTCTGCTGTGATCACCTCTATTACACAGATTGTGTAAGTATGTAATAAAGCCTATATGAGAGGATTGTAGTTCTACAGATTAACTATACAGGGAAAAGCCACCACATCTGCCACCTATAGGCACAGGTCTATTGTGTCTAATGGTAAATCCATCCCTGCCCAGAGCATAATGCCGTGTTTCTTAAATGTTTTTCAATCATAGCACCCTTCAAAGTACTCAAACAGTAACAGGGCACTATTACTCAAAATGTAACAGTACTCTGTTACATTTTGGCCTTAAAAAGTCCCCCCAGAGCTGCTATGCAGATATTGACTTTCTTAAAGTCAAAGAATAAACACCCCCCTGCATCCAACAATGCTCTGTCAAGACTTCTATGTCCTACCAAGAGGCCCAGTCATGTCACATTTGCGGTAAAAGAAACTTGCGTTTCCGAGGGCTATCCGGCTGTATCCTAATGGATACGCGCGGCAAATATGCCCCAAAGAAGCTCCTGTACTTCTTTGGGCGTAGGGCGTTTTGCAGCGCGTTCCTACTCGCTGTAAAACGCCCAGGTGGGAACCATGCCCATAGGCAATCATTGGTTTTCACATGTTGAGCGTTTTACGCGCTTAGGAACGCGCTGTAAAACGCCCAGGTGTGAACCAGGCCTTAGACATTACGCATTAGTAATTGTGTGCTTCTGCGGCCTCTCAATAGGAGCCATCATATGATATATAGGACTCGTGAACATGTTCATTCCTTTAAAGGAAACCTGCACTGAGGGAACTTGTAGGCTGCCATTGTTGACCTTTCCTTCCAAGTGCTAGTTACTTGCCTTCCACGCTGATTCAGAGACTTCAATACTTTGTGTTACTGACTTGGAAAAAGGAGGCTTGTTCCAGGTCAGTGACTCAAATATTTAAGCCAGAGATATCCAGCTTTAGGTGGTCAGCAATGGTTGCTTCCATGTTTCTCTCCGTACAGGAGTATTTTCCACCCCCATGGGCTAAGCTACACAGGCAATTTTATTCTCTTGCTGCTTAGAGATTTAAGCACTTGCTACTGGCAATCATTGGCATGGTTGTTATTTTGTCCATTTGTTTTGCAATCAGTTGAAACTCCTAGCGATGAGTTGCTAGCGATTTTAGTAGAATGATTGACCTACTGAAAATCTCCTGCATTACTTTGGCCTGAAGAAATGATTGCAATCACATTGTTAAATCTCTCAAAAACAAGAGATTAAACTCGTCCACGTATTTCAGTCCTTAAGTAAATGAAATTGGAAGATATACCGAGCCTCATTTATCGACATCAACAACAAAAACTGTGCTTGTAACCTTTTAGCAACCAATCCGGGTGCTTATGGAGCTTATGTAATACGGCAGTGCAAAGTGCAATGGCTGAGGAGTTTGGAACCCATACCAAACAATCAAGATTTCCATGACTATTCTGAACACTCTGAGAGGGGATTTATCAAAACGGGAGCAGAGAAGATCTGGAGCAAATGTTCATGGCAACCAATCAGCATCTCTACTTCATTTTCAAATCTTAACTGAACAAACTGGAGAGAGCAGATGATTGGTTGCCATGGGTAACTGCTCCAGATTTTCTCTGCTCCAGTTTTGATAAAATTCCCCCTTTGTATTTATTATTTGCCAAGTCTGGTAGTATATTTCAGAATCATTAAGCACTCCATGCTTCCCAATATCTTAGAGCTGAGCTCCAGGCACAAAAACGTTAATTTACATATATTCCCTAAAAGCCAAAAGGTTATAAATCCACTTTGTATGCACCAAATGCCTTTGCAAACCCAGATAAAGACCCAGCAGACCCCACCCACTAGAGGCTGCCTGCAGAAAACTACAGGAGGTGCATGCAGATAGAAGACCAGTCACCCTGCACAAGGAGAGAGAGTAGCAGTGACCGGTTTTTATTACAGGAAGCTCCTGCACAATGGATCACTGCACAAATCTTGAAGAAATACACAAAGCATAATTCAAGTAAGAATGCACACAAGATTCAAGTAAGAATGCACACGACTCTTGCATTTAGACAATTTGGTTGCAATACATACATAGCAATTCAGCTTCCTATGTGACCTCTCTGCCTGCAGCCTGCACAGTAGACAATAAATCAACTTTGTCACCTCTATCCAGGGAGCAGAGAGCTGACTCAGCCATGATAACCCAGAAAGCAATCATTTTAAGTTTTGGAATAGCAGAGTGCTGCTCCTGACTGGCAGAAGTATGTGTAACCACAATAAAGGCCAGTCAAAAATACAAAAACATGGGCACAGTTGCCTTGTCCCTGAAGCTGTAGCTAGCACACTCAATGCAAATAGAAGCAATTCATCTTAGGATGTACATGTCATGCAGTCTGGTCCCACATGGCACAAAACTTCAGCTGTACAACATGCACAGCCTAAAGTGTTTTTATTTGCATTATGGAGTGCTGGCTTCTTTGATGATGTTTTTGCAAGATTGCTCCACAGAATGTCCCACCGGGCAGGGGGCAGCATACAAGTATCCAATGGGGTCACCACTCAAGGCAGTCTTCAACAGCTTTTGCAAGTTGCCGTTTTGCAGGAATATTGGCAAATAGGCTTGGGCAGGTAAAACAGTAAACATATACCGTACATTTAAATGGTGTACTTAGTGGTTTCCTTAGAAATGTACTTAAAATCCAAAATTTGGATATCAAGTCCCATGCTAGCCATATTTTTTTGGTGAATCTCACTTCAGGTCCCAAAATCTAGAACCATTTCTCCCAGTTCGGAAAGGTGAGCTAAAATTTGATCAGCCCCGCATTAGACTTGGGTGTATATGTAAAGAACAATGTGCATAATTCACTACACACTGGATGCCATTCATCTTTTATTGCTTGGATCCTATCTGAAGTCTGGTTGCAATGGGTGACCACACCTTATCATCATTGTTCTTTGCACTGCCTGACTGTTTCACA